GGCGGGAATAGAGATAACGAAACCTTGGTGCGATCGTAGTGAGCAGTGAATTAATGTCAGCTAGTGTAGTTCGAGAGAATACATCTAGTAAATTGTGGTAGTTGCTCGAGAGAGAATTACGACAACCAAAGTACTTACAATCGGTAGAGAATACATTGGTAAAATTGTAGGGAACATAGCTAGAAGGATTCCGATAATTGGGGAAATCATAACTCTAGATCTCCTTAATTTAGTCTCCAACCCTTTGTCTCGTTAATTGATAATTTTACCGCTTTCTAGTATTTGCTAGTTAATTAGTTTGAAATATAAATCTCAATCTTTATAATTTAGAAAATTGTTCAAACTTGTCTTTTTAGTGATATTAAACAGATATAGCTAAGCCTTAGTTCTCTGTGAGATTCGACTCCGGACTTTTAGACCGGATTATATTTGCAGCGACCGCTTATCCTTTTTAGGACTAGAGTTGGGCGTGATCAACTATCAAGAATATCATACTTAATGATGACAATTGGATTGAAGGAGATGATCATATTGCCAATGAAGCTGTATCCTTTTTTCAGAATCAATTTACTAGAGAATATACTGACTCCAATTTCTCTATTCTTAATTGTATACCTAAAGTAATTAACGAAATGGACAATGCAGATCTCACTGCTAATCCTACTATGGAGGAATTGAAAGCAGTTGTATTCTCCTTGAGCCCATCCAGTGCACCCAGACCAGATGGGCTCTCTGGGAAATTTTATTAGTCATGTTGGGACATTATTAAGGAGGACCTATTACTAGTGGTTTCTGATTTCTTTGCAGGTAACCAAATTCCAAAGGCAATTACTCACACCTGCCTGATCCTCATTCCTAAAGTGGATAACCCTCAAGCTTTCAATGAATTAAGGCCTATTAGCCTTAGCAACTTCTCCTGCAAAATTATCTCTAGCCTAGTGAATCAAAGGCTAAGCCCCCTCATGAACAAGCTGATCTCTCCTTATCAAATAGGTTTCATTAAGGGGAGATCCATAACTGAAAATATTATGATGGCTCAAGATATGGTCCATAATATTACAAAGCCCTCCATACATGGGAATGTGGTTTTAAAAGTAGACATGACTAAAGCATATGACAGAGTCTCATGGGAATACTTGTGCAATATTATGAGGCACTTTGGGTTCAATGAAATCTGGATTGATATTATTTGGAGACTTATTTCTAATGTCTGGTACTCTGTAAATATCAATGGAAGTAGACATGGATTTTTCAATTCTACTAGGGGTTTAAGACAAGGGGATCCTCTATCTCTTTCTCTCTTTCTTATTGGGGCTGAACTTCTATCGAGATTAATGGAATCTTTAAACAATCACGATTTTATCCCACTTTCGATAGATAATTATAGTCCTATTATATCTCATCTATGCTATGCTGATGATACAATTTTGTTTTCCTCAGCTGATCCGGAATCCTTGAAGATGATGATGGACAAGATGGAGACCTATGAAAAGATCTCAGGACAATTAGTAAATAAGTCTAAATCTGGTTTCTATGTCAATTTCAAAGATGATGATCCAAGAATCAACCAAATGCAGACCACTAGTTTCAAGAATTGCAAGTTTCCAATGCAATATTTAGGATGTCCTATCTACATAGGGAGAAAAAAAATCGTTTACTTCAACAACATGGTGGCTAACATAGCAAAATGACTCCAAGGCTGACAAGGTAAATTCCTATCCTATGGTGGCAAAGTCGTTCTTATCAAATCTGTTTTGCATGCTATCCCACTCCATATCCTATTAGCAGTTCACCCGCCTAAGACGACTTTCTACCAGATTGAGAAGATCATCTCCAACTTCTTCTGGGGTATGGATGGTAATAAGAAAAAGAAGCACTTGCTTGGAAAGACATGTGTTGTCCAATAGAGGAAGGGGAAGTTGGCTTCAGATCTCTCACAGACACATGTGATGCCTTCTTTGCTAAGTTATGGTGGCAATTCAGAACTCAAAATTCTCTTCTTAGAGACTTTCTCGAAGCTAAATATTGTAAAAGGTTCCATCCTGTTGCAAGAAAGAAAGTTCCCGGCCAATCTCATACTTGGAGAAGAATGATGGACATAAAAGACAAAGTGGAACCTTATATTTCATGGAGGCTTGGAAGGGGGGAAATATCATTCTGGTGGGACTCTTGGACCGACTTTGGACCTCTAGCTCATCTGGTTCAAAATAGCAGGACTCCTATTATGGTAAAGGAGTTCTACCTTCATGATGATTGGAATCAGAGTAAATTGATGAGAATTCTCCCTTTGCACGTAGTCTATTCCATCAAAACCATCCCTTTCAACAGCAATAGAGAAGACAGACCCATTTGGACCCCAGATCCTTCAGGGGAATTTTCTTGTAAATCTGCATGGCACACACTGAGATCTAAGTGAGGAACTACTCTTACAGGTATTACTGTTTGGCATAAAAAGCTTCCTTTTAAAGTCTCCCTTTTTATGTCTAGAGTCCTTTTGGATAAGGTAGCAACTGATGTTGCTATTAAACGATATGTGGTAAATATTGCCTCCATATGTAACTGTTGCTTCACTAACCACTATGAGGAATCCACTGACCACCTCCTCAGTGAAAGTCATATTGCCAACTTAGTATGGTCTTTCTTCTGTAACTCTTGTGGTATCAGGTTGGTCCAAGGCCAGGTAAGACAGAGAGTTATGAGTTGGTGGTTGACTAAGCCCAAAAATGAAGTCCATAAGGCAGTACTTCAATGCCTTCCTTCAATCATATGTTGGCAGATTTGGAAGAACAGATGTTCGGCTAGGTTTGACAAAAAGCACATGTCACATTGCTTCATCATCCAGCAAATGATCAAGATGATAAATATGCTTATCCATACGAGTTTCCCAGATTTGCAATTGACAAACATGTGGCATGATACTTACAGTAAAATTGAGAAGCTCTCCCATGCTATCCATTGTCAGATCGCATATTGGCATAAACCTCCAACAAACTGGTTTAAACTCAATACTGATGGTTGCAACAAGGGTAATCCAGGCTCGGCAGGTGGTGGTGGTCTTATCAGAGATCACAATGGTGTGTTAATGGGTGCTTTTGCAGAATTCTATGGAGATTGTAGTTGCAATATTGCGGAAGCTAAAGCTATGAGGCGAGGCATCAAAATGTGTATTACAATGGGCCTCACAAATGTTATAGTCGAATCTGACTCGACGATTATTCTAAACTTGATCAAAAGAATCAGGAAACCACCCTGGAGATTCAATGATATTATTGAGCAGATTCAAACCATGACTAAGGATCGTAACTATGTCTTTTGCCACACCTTGAGGGAAGGAAACAACTCTGCTGACATGCTTGCTGACTTGGGTGAAGAATCCAAAACTGTTTCTATCTTCAATGAGGTTGTATCATTACCTATAATGTTAGAGCTTTAATGAAGTTAGAAGGTGATGGGATACCAAACTTCAGATTCAGACAAAAGAAGAACAAGTTCATTATCAATGACAGCATTTAGCAATAAACTCCTCTCTAGCACCTTTTTGTACATATCATCCATGTGTGTTGCTACAAACTCTCGGAGGAATCACAGCCTTCTTCTTAACCTATCTAATTTATTTTGGTCAATTATGTATCATAGGGTGAGTCCAATCACCTACCTCATTGTTCTGGAGGCCAAGGTCTATGTCCTCCTCCGTATAAATATGATTTTTGATATATATATATATATATATACAGGTTGGAGTCATGCCTTAACTCCTCCATCACGATGATGGAATTGTTAAAAAAAGAAAAAAAGTAGTTCCAACTTCCAACATAATATGCTGGAAGTTTATACGTAGGAACTCCATAATCCAGCATATTATGCTGGAACTTTCTGTGTTTAAACAAAACAATGGCGATTTTTCAATGACTTTGCAAACATTGACTATTTTTCAATTATCAGTCCGAAAACAAGCTAGCTCGTGCTGTTTTTACCGTAAAAATCACTTTTAACCAATATTTTTGGCAAAAAAGAAGCAGGGCCAAACATGCTATAAATCTTCATGGAAAGGATAATAGTAATGCATAAGTTTATTTGAGGATTATTTTTAATTACACAAAATCCAAACATTTCCTCAATCTAGCTAAAAGAAGAACTCTCGACTGAAGAAGCGATTATATTTGTAGGGGCAGAGGGCCATAGTATTTATATCCATAGTATTTATTATATCCATAGTATTTATAACAAATACTATTATATTCATAATATTTATTACTCATTTCAAATTATTTTCTCAAATCTAATAAAATATGCATCAATTAATATGGGTATAAAATAATAAATTATGCACTTCATTTATTATTTCTTAAGGGGCTTGAAAAGTCAAAAACGTGCCAAGTAAAAGTGAATGAAGGGAGTATAATTTGTTCAGAGTTAGGGACCTACAACATTTTTACGAGGAGAGAAAAATATAAAACGACATGTGTAACTCTTAGCACAACTTATTCAATAGTTGGTAATAAGAGCAAATTTAGGTACTTTACATATATTTAGTTTGTTAATTTTTTAAAAATTTTTTAAACTCAGCGTCATATCAAATATTATCCCATAAATAAAATAATCTCCTATATTTATTTACAACTTAAAGAAAATAAAATATCGTTGTATTTTATATATTGATTGATCTCTTATGTTATTTTTATCATCTTCGTGAAGAAGAGTAACGGAGTACAAATTAATGTAGCATGTTATTTTGCCGTGCTTCTAAAATTAGCTTATTTTAATGAGTATTTTCTCAAACGTGCTCTTAGAAAAGTATTTTTTTTTTTTTTTTTTTGTGAAAAACACATACTCATTGTGTGTTTGGCTAATCAAATTTTTGAAAAGTATATTTTTTCAAAAAATACTTTTTTACTTGTTAAAATTTGGCTAAATATTTTAACTTTAGAAAAAAACACTTTTTAATGCTGCCAAACAAGCTATAAATCTCCATGAAAAGGATAATAGTTAAGCATAAGTTTATTTTAGTTATTTTTCATTACACAAAATCCAAACAACTCCTCAGTCTAGCTAAGAGAAGAACTCTCGACTGAAGGAGCAAAAGCTAATTACCGCCGGGGAATCTGCAGCTTCATTCAACCAAATATTTGCTCAGCTCAGAGGGAGAAATTCATTGAGTTTAATGCTGATTTATTGAAGGTATAACACAGCACCACGAAAATGAATGTAGTAGTAGCATCATCACCATTGCAAGTACCATATTGCTGCTGTACAAAATCCCTAAGCAAAAAAAGGAACCCAAAATGTGTGGCCTCAGCTTCTGGCGCTACTTGTCTTGTAATTGATGATACAATTCAAGGGCAAGCTTCAACTTCAATTGAAACCCCAAAAACACAGTCAGTTACAGCACGTCGACTCATATTGCTTCGACACGCCAAGAGTTCTTGGGAAAATCGCTCAATTCGGGGTACCCTACTTACCCTTTTTAGCCCACTAATATTTAGAGGATTTAATCATGTACACTAACAGAATTTTAACCTGTTACCTTGTTTACTAGATTATTAATTAATCAACATATTTACTTGTTGTTACCTATTAAGTGACCTGATTGTATAAATATTTTTATACCGCGGTGCATAGAACATTACAACTTAAGCTCAATTTTTAGGTTAGTTACCATTTTTACTAGATTATCTGTCAATGAACAGATTACTTGTTGTTACCTATTAAGTGGCCTGATTGTATAAATATTTTTTATATCACGGTGCAGAACATTAGAACTTAAGCTCAAATTTTAATGTGTCAGTGTAAGGAATTTGATAGCCTCTCTACCTTCACAAGGTAGAGGTGAAGGTAGAGTAAGGCTCAATACACACTACCCTCTCCATACCCCACTTGTGGGATTACATTGGATTTGTTGTTGTTGTAGTGTAAGGAATTTTTATATAGCAGGTTATTTATTATAGGTAAATTGTCTTAATTTCAAGATTACAAATTAGCTATAGATATCCTTTAGCTGACTAGATAGTGTAAAAAAATTGTGACGGTGTATCCTGAAAGACCTACAATTTCTAGCGATCCATACAGACTTCACAAAAGATAGGACACAATAGAATGGAAGAAAACGGATCTATATAGGCGATACATATTAGTTTGAATATGTTTTAGATGTTAGCACTTGTACTATAGGTCGTACGCTTTCTAGGATTGGCTTAGCGTTTTAGAGATTTATACGTTTAGAAAATATACGTAACTAATACCTTTTATTTTTATTTGCATAATATTGACATGAGATGAATGTAAATGGAGTAACATGATCAGTGAGGATACACATAGCCAAAACCAGCTTGTTTGGGACCGAGCCGTTGTTGTTGAGTTGTAATGGACCAGACATAGTTCAATTTTCATGCTCCAAAGACTTGCATTCCATGCCTCATGCAAATGTTTCCTCTTGCAAAAGAAACAATTACAGAAAAAGCTCATTGTGTTGCTATAAACAAAAAGTAGCTCGATTTATAGGTTTAATATAATATATTCATCATAGATTATGTTCTTGAGCAGATCATGATCGTCCTTTGAGTAGAGCTGGACAACTCGACGCTATCAAGGTCTCACAAAAACTCCTACAATTGGGCTGGATTCCAGAACTTATTTTATCAAGGTTAGTGGTTCTTTAAGAACGTTGAGAGGAGTTTTTTTATGTGATTCTTAAGCTGCTTAAAAATTATATTGATATTAACAAACTAAGTGGTCGTTTTCTTTTTGTTATGGCGTAGTGATGCACTGCGAACGCGGGAAACACTGAAAATAATGCAAGAGCAAGTCCAAGCCTTTTTGGAAGCTGAAATACATTTTATTTCAAGCTTTTATTCTGTTGCAGCAATGGATGGTCAGACGGCTGAGCACTTAAAACAAGCAATTTGTAAATACTCGAGGGATGGGATCTTGACAGTCATGTGAGTTTTCCTTCTGCTTGTGATTCTTTGGTGGTGGAATTTGACATAATGGAACAGCATTAGTACACTGCATAGAAATCTATTATGGTTCTTGAAAAAATTTTGCAAGACTAGAAGAACGAACAGCTCAACAGTTTGCTCGAATTATTGTACAAACAAAAAAGTCTCACCCACAGCTAAAGGGTAGAGGGACGGCATGTTTATTGTGAAATCATATTATAACAGGTTAATAAAGAGGAAGACCAGGAATTTTCTTTATTCCTCGATATGAGTGCTTAGGGTTCTCTACCTTCATTAGGTAGGGGTAAGGTCAAAGTACAGACTGCCCTCCCCATACCTCACCCGTTGGGAATATACTGGGTCTGTTGTTGTTGTTGTATGAGTGCTTAGGCTACAGAGGATAGTGTCATTATTGGACGCAACGTGGCCATTCTTCATTGCAGAAAAATTGAGGAAAAGGACTATCTGCATTTGTTGGTTTTTATGTGTGAGAGGAAATGATAGATGTCAATCATTTGTTCCTTCACTTTATATTATTATGGTGATGGCAGATGCGGACGAGAGTATAGGAAATAGCTCCCTTATCACTTTTACCGGTCATATGGAGAGAGAAACATAAAAGCTTTTGAAAGAGTTAAAAAGTACTTTTTACAATTGTTTTTTTTGGATACACTTCTGGAGTATAAACAATATTTTCAGTCAGTAGTGATGACTGGATGCTCTATGTTTTTGTGAAATCCTTTACTATGTATATACAGTTTGTATCCAAAAGGTTTTCCCATTACTAGAATTATTAACTTTATTAAAAAAGTGGGATTTGTACAATCTTCTATTTCATCTCCTGTTGGGAAAACGGCAGTTCTTTATGTCGATTTCCAGTTGCTAGGTAAAGTGCTACATTGTAAAATACTAAATTTAATCATCTATTCAGGTGTATGGGACACAATAGAGGATGGGAAGAGGCAGCCTCAATGCTTTCAGGTGTTTCTGTAGAACTAAAGACATGTAATGCTGCTTTGCTCGAAGCCACTGGGAAGTCGTGGGAAGAGGTTTGGTCATTTATCTGTAACACTTGGCTCCTTTTTTCACAGTCCTATTTTTGCAAATTCAATTGCATCATGAATGTCAAAGTAGTATATGGTAAGTTGGTATACAGATTTTCAATGTGAAGTGAAATGGCTATTGGCCCCAAAATAGGGCCCATCATTCCGATTAATTGCTATTTGTGTGGTTGACCTCCTTATGTTGGATTCCCACCTTGTGTCACACCACTATCTACTTTCAGCTTCTGTTTTCAGTTCCCGCTTTCTTCCTGCTCCACAATTTGTTATCTGCTCCACCTATCTTTTAGCCATTGCAAGCTAATTCTCACAATTGGTAGATTTTCAGTACCATTGTAGGAAAAAAATTGAGCTTCATACCCTCTGTGCTTAGACTGACAGTAGTTGATCAATGGATGGGTAAACCCACTCTTTGCAGTAGATCTAATGTGAAAGTTCAAAGAGATGTCAAGGTTACGTGAGCAAGGATTTTGATATTGAAACCCGCAGAGCTGCAGTTTAGATCTGCAGGGGCCAAAAGGTATATTAAAGAAATAAATCTATTTTAACAATTTGCATATAAGCTTATGAAAGAATGTCTCCCTATTGTAGATTTACCAACAGAGGAAGCTTCTTAAGTCAATAAATACTACAGCTGCGACAACCATGCCCAATCCCAAACAAGTTGTGGTTGGCCATATGAATCCATCATACCTCTTATGAATCCTCAGTGATTATATTTTTTTAATTGAACTCATCTCAAGCCTATATTATACAAAATAAAAATAAAAATAAAAAGTACTAGAAGTTCTCCATATGTTTTTTTTGATAAGGTAAAGTTTTGTTGATAGATCATAGAAGTACCAAGATGGTACAGAAAATTACATAAGAAAACATATATCACCTACAAGAACTCCCAATTACATCTTCCCTAGCAAATCCAAAAATTCCATATACTGATCCATATTCTCTAATAAACACGTCTTACACCGAAAAAACAAATTATGTAGACAGGAGTTTTTGTTTCTAGAAATATGATTTTGTTTATTTTCAAAACAAGCACTGTTCCTTTCACTCCAAATGGTCCAGAATATGCATAGTGGGACAGTCCTCCAGCTTTGCTTCTGATTCTTTGTTGTCTTCTGCCCTTGCCAGCTAACCAGTAGACTCCTAATGCTTGAAGGCATAACCCAAGTAACACCACAAAGGTTCAAGAAAAGTTCCCAACACTGATTTTGCAGTTTTACAGTGAACATGGTTGACTGATTCCAAACCTTCACACAGATAGCACCTATTGCTTCCATATTTTCTACTGGCATATGTATCTTGGATAAGGCTAAGAAAATCCTAGAAAGCCGAGGACCTAAAATAAAGGTACGAACATGGCTAATAAAACGTATTCCCAACTAATTGGTATCGCCTATGTAGATCTTTTTCTTCCATTGTGTCCTATCTTTTGCTAAGTCTGCATGAATTCCAATAGATTGTAAGTTCTTAAGCCAATAAATATTTCAGCTATTTATGTCTTTGTTTCTTTTTATTTTGATTGGTTCAATAATTTGAGATAGTACTTGTGACTGGAATTTAGGAGAGCAATGCTGGTAGATTCCGAGTAATATGCTATTGATTTTAGTACTATTTTGCACCCTCTGTCCTCTGAATCTAAAAGTGTCATGAACTAATGACTGCTTTCAGATGGAATATCACTTTACATCTCTTTGTTTTTTCCTTTTTATCACCGTAACTGGTTCTTTGCAACTTGGAATTGTTTCTTGAATATGGAGCTAGGTACGAGCAACCTAAGATTTTGTGAAGTCTAATCATCTTTTGCATTTAAATGTTATGTATTGGGTTATTAGTTATTACCATGTCTGAATGGCAACGCAGACCTTTCTAAAGAGATTACCTTATAGACATATCCACTCTTTAACATTTCAAATGGAATAATAGTTTTAGTTTTTGATAGCCTTTCTTGAAAAGTGTAAGTAGGAAGAAAACTACTTAAAGATGCTTTACTTGTCTGAGAGTAACCACAATTGAATCTCGAGATGTAATGATGATGAGTGTGCTTTATGTAGTTTCACAAGTCGCAAAATGAAGTTTCTAAGATCTTTGAAGTTTTATCTTGTCTGACTTGAGTGCCTTCCTCAGGCATTTTCTCTGGCTGGACCTGGTGGGTGGAAGCTTCAAGGGCTTGTGAAGCCAGACACTGCTGTTTAGAGTTATTTTAGTTAAAGGAATATATAATCATCCATTTGAGGGACCAGCAGCCCAGCAAAATGCAAGATTGAAGCAGACTGGATTACAAAATATTCAATCGTCTGTTGCGAAGCTTATTCAGGTAGCTTACTACCAAAACCACCCACGCCTGCTCAAGGGATAAGACTACTATTCCTCAACATCAGTTGGTGCTTCACTTACTGTTGGCCCTGTCATTGAGATGTAATCGTCTTTTGTACCAAAAGGCTGATTTTCACTCAAAAGATAGACGCTAGCTATGCCAACAATCTCATGTGTAGAATAATTTTGCTGGATAATTCGAGCCAGGTGGACAGCTTGTCTTGCTAGATTTGTAAATTTGAATTTAGCCAAAAGTCTATTAACACGATATTTGAATTTAGCCAAAAGTCTATTAACACCATGATATACCGTCACTCTTTCAGAAACATGGTCAGTGAAGATTCGTATAAGTATGGTCAGTGAAGATTCATATAAGTGCTATAATTGTCGCATAGTTGTTGTCGTGCATTCTTTGTGCCAGTCTTTCCAACTCAAAGCTTGCACAAATTTGGACGGCTTGATTACTGCAAATAAAAGATGGTCAAGGATAGAGCCGACCACGACACAATGGCGAGGAGTCATCTTAAGAAGGATACCGAGGTCAAGCAAGGGGAGGAAGTAAGCAACGGTAGGATAGTTTAGCAATAGATGTAAGGAATATTCCATTGGATATTCCCTAGGTTGTACTTTTTAGGGTTTTTTTGAGGATAACCCTTATAAATAGGAAGAGATAGAGAACAAAAAGGATCTTCTTCTACACTTTTTGATAAGAGCACTTGTAAAGGGTTGACTATAAAGAATATACAAAAACGCTTGTCTTGTTCACTGATTCTGTTGCTCAACACACGTAGTCCACTCTTTGTTTGCAAGGTCCAAAGATTCCCTATCCATTTTCATTTATCTTTATCCTACGTTGCTGTCAGGAAGAAGAATCACCCAAACCATCTAACATTTGGGTGATAAATTCCTCTTTATTACATTTATTGCCATTATTTGCATTTATTGCATGTTCTTATTATAACATTCATTGAATACATATATGACCTTTCTTACTCAAAAACACGATCCCATTCCACGGATCTGTCCACGTTTTTTATCTAGAATTTATTATATCTAACTAGGATTCACCCTCTATTCCCTCATTAATTAGTTTAAAAAAAAGCTTAACACTCTTTGATCAAACAATTTGGCGCCGTCTTTGGGGAGGTTTGTTTACCTTGAAAATGGTAATTACAATTAGATTTGATTTTGTGGTTCTAAAAATACGTGATCTGTTTTTATGCTAGTTGTTAGGTAATGGATACTAAGTGTGAGACTAAAAAATAAGATAAGAACTCAAAAACGGTGTGTTTAAGCAAACCGGGTGGCTGAGAATCGGGGTCTCGAGCCTGGTTATACGGGACCTCGGTCGAGCTCGATACTAAGTTATGGACAACCAGTAAAGGACTAACAGCTTTGGGAGCTTTGATGAAGGCTCTTTATGATCAATAACGAGCAATAAATGAAGAAAAATTAATAGAACACAATAAATGTAAATAATAGAATCAAGGGAGAACATATTTAAGTTAGAGAGCAGAGAGTGTTCTTGTATTCAATATTGTGTGTTTTTTCTCCCCCCTCTAAAAAATAGCAAAGGTCCCCTTTATATAGGAGGAGGGAATCCCATCATAGTACGTATGCATTTATTACAAAGAAATGTAGCTGGTACAGCTACCTAGCGGTCTGGTACAGACTGGTACTGTTCTTGTAGGTGTTGTCAGTTTGGACCACGTGCCTAGGGAACTTACCGTTTATCCATGATAACCATCGATCTACACTGCCCCGAAGTCGATCGTTGGGAACCCTTCGGGGTTGAACCTCGGGTCGTGCCTCGAGCCTTCGGAGACGTGCTTATGAGGCGCCGTGACGACCATAAAATTGGACCCTCCGATTTTCACCGTATACAGATAGTCCCCGCGTTTCTTAGAGTGAAATGATAAGAAAACGACTTCGCTATTGATCTCCTCGAGATTCTCACGATGACGTCAAGCTTACGACGTAAGCTTTTGCGATGACTAAGACATCCCATCAGTTCATCTTCTCAAAAGAATTCATTACACTGCCGGTTTATTCTTCCAAAAAGTGATAATATCGCCGCCGATCGGTTTCCGAAAAAGTGTTGATTGCGCCTGTCGATACGTTTCCCAAAGGCATTGATTGCACCGTCGATTACGTTACCGCCTTTCTATAAATAGAGGGTTACTTGAACCATTGCGTCACCCAGTCATTCTTCAACAGTTTTTAATTTGTGCTGGATTTCCCTTTGCCTGCATTTGTAAAGAATCTGAGCATGTGACTTTACCGATCGGTCCGAATACCGAGCCTGGGCGTAGGAATTTCCTTGGTTCTTGATTGGTTAATATGATATTCCCTGAAATCCTTTGCCTTTCCTCGGACCGAGTCTGGATTGACTTGATACAAACTTAGGCCGCCGGAACTAGCGACTTCGAATTGATCAAGAGTGAGGCCTCGAATTTTTAGAGCAAAACTTAGCCCCCTTAGGCCCCGTTGGTAGTCCTCGAGGGACGGAGTTTCTTGACCACCTGAAATAAAGACAGCCCTCGGGCCTTTTCAAATAGTCCTCGAGTGCGAGTTGATCTGAACTCGGGCGACCTCGAAAACTTGCTTTGAAAAATGAAGATAGCCCTAAGGTGTCATAGATAGACATCGGATGAGGATATGCTCGGACTCGGATTGACCCTGGGATTAAGTAGCCGAGAGAGCGTTTAAATTGATCTGAAGGTAAAAATAGCCCTGAGGCTTTATTAACAATCCTCGAGAGAGAACCGGCCTGGGCTCAGATAGCCCGAGGGCCAAGGAATCGGGTGAATGACCCGCGCTTGTAATAGCAAAGGTCCTCGAGATCGGGTACCATCTCAAGGCTTAGTTTTATATGGATAGCTCCTTAGAGCTCATAGGTATAGCAATGGGGATCCTCGGGATCGGGCACCATCTCGGGGCCAGGTTGACCCCCCATTTGGAGTCCGTTCTGTAATACCAAAGGTCCTCGAGATCGGGCACCATCTCGAGGCTAAATTGGTGTCGACAGCTCCTTAGAGCTTACATTCGCTTTGACGGAGATCCCCGAGGTCGGGCACTACCTCGAGGCTTAGATTGATATTGATGGCTCCTTAAAGCCTATAGTTACGGTAGTAGAGACCATCGAGATTAGGCACCATCTCGAGGCTGGATTTATACGGCAATCTCCGACCCTTCGAACGTTGTATGACAGCTTACTTGCATGGCACGGACATGAAGCGCCCGGGATGGTCCCGTCGGTACACTTCTCCGAAAGCGATAATGGCCTAATTAGAATTAATTGGCGTTCAGAGTAGGCGGACAGTTGTCGTTCGCTCTATAGTGTGGAGAGACTGCGGATGGGGAGAAAAGGTGGTATTTCAGGTACCTTCCCCGGAAGAGAGCATCATGGATCATGCAGAGGGGTTTTTGAACGTATATTCGTACCCTTTTACATTAGGACCTCTCAATAGGGTTATGCTCGACTTCTGTCGGAGGTATCGGGCTACCCTGGCATAGGTTCATCCGTCGTTCTGGAGGGTAGTATTGATGATGAGGTTCTTTGCAGAGGAAGCAGGGCTTGAGTTTACCCTTAGCCATCTCATCAGGCTATACCGGCCCTTTCATCATCGAGGCCTGTTAATTTTGCGATGTCGATCCACCAGGCCCTTCGTTGTCGACGATGAAGAAGATGGGGATCGGGGGTGGATGAGTTGATTCATCCGAGTACGGACTGTCGATATTATCCCTGTGGAGTTCCTGCCATTTCCTGAGGAATGGAATTTTACACGTAAGTGGTACACTTGTGTTTTTATTGTTTCTGCTTACGGTGGAGATGGATTCCGTAAATACCCTTTCCTTTCCCTTTTTGTAGCAATCCCGTGGATGCCATACGAGGTCCCCGAATTGACGGATTGGGCTTGGAAGCTGGCAGCCCGCTTGACTTATGATGAGCGCAAGTGGCGAATTCTCTCTAAGGGTAGATGGGAGGCAAAACATCACGGTACGTGCTGTGTGGTTTGTTCTCTTTGAAAGGTACTTTCTTTTTATGCGCACTGACTCCATCACCGTAGGTATTGGGGATTTTCTGACATGAGACCGTGCCCCTTCGGAGAGGAGGATGGTTCGTCAGCTTTGGGATCGAGGATAATAACAAATGAAAGGAACCCTCGTGGGGCGAAGGTGCTCATAGCGAGGAAACTCCCGCCCGAAGGCTCAGAGAAGATGCATCAGCTGAGCTCACAGCACCCGAGGCTTCCGTCCTTAGAGAAATGGTTCCTCCTCTACCGCCATCTTCTTTTTCCATTGAAGGTACTTCGAGGGACAAGGATTTTTTGCCGTTGTCTTCTTCTCCCGCCAAAGGTACTTCAAGGGATGCTCAAAGCCAGGGGCCGCCTAACTCAAGCGAGGTATCAAACGACCATATTCCTTTTGGGAGCGGTTTTACCGGGGCCGATGAGACCAGGCCGGTGGATGTGTGCTCAACTTTTGAGGAGGCTCAGCGGCTCTGATCTGTGGTGAGTTTTGGCCGATCGTATTAGTTTTTCAGTTTTGCATTTTCATTTTCTTAATGAGTTCCCTTTTTATAGGCCTTTGACAAGCTTAACTCTGAGCTTCTTCGCCGTGAAGCCAGGTTGCGAAAAGACTTGGATGGGGAGAAATCCCTCAGGCTTCTTTGTAACAAAAGAGCAGAGGAGTTGGCATACCTGCGGTACGAGGCAAATCGGAGCCGGAACTACGAAATCTACCTCGAGGGACAGGTATCTTTTGTTTCGAGGGGGCATATGTTTCTTCTTCTACCCTCTATTTTGACACTTCAGTTGCAGAGAAAGACGGAGGACCTGGAACGCCTTTGGGGCGAAGTCAGTCAAGTCAAGTGTGAGTGCTATGAGCTAAAGGCTCAGGCAGATGCCCAAGTTGCGGCCAAGAGGGATGCTTTGGCCAAGGCTTCCGCCCTCGAGGTGCAACTCCGGAATGCTTGTGAAAATAGCTCGGTCCGAGCGAACATGATTGCAGGGCTCTAGTCTGAGCTCTTGGAGATGAAGGACGAGGTTGTGGACGCCCGAGCTGAAGCTGAAGAGATTCGAGCTAAGGCCGATAAGAAAGTGGCCGTCTATTTAAAAGATGTTGCTGATGCTCGAGCTGAGCTGAGAGGGGCTCTCGACCGAGAGAGTAGAAGCAAAGAATATGCTCGGTGTAAATCTCGGAGGGAAACCCTCGAAGAGATTCATGCTAGGGGCTTCGATATCTCGGAACAGATAGCGCAGGCCAAGGCGGATGAATATGATGCCAAATTCCTCGTATTTG